GTCCCCCAGAGGGATCATGACCCATAGATTGAGAACTGATGTCCCAGGTGATAGCTAGGAGGAAAGGGAAGAGTCAGATAGATATCTGAGTATTATCTTCGTGACAGAGAGGCTGGGAAGGGCTGTTCCTGTGAGAAGAAGGTACAGTGACTAGATGAGAGAACCAAGAAAGAAGACCCAACTAGACCAAGAAAATAGAGGGGAAATGCAACCACTTAGGAAGAATTAGTCTTCCAAAATGCTCACCCCTGCACAGGCTCAGTGCCTACTCTGTGCCTTCATAAGTGCTCAGGAGGAGGCTTACTTAGAGATAACTAATTTGTTCATTTATTTCTTGTTTCCAGGATCCTGGAGAGCTTTAGAGTACAGATGAAGCCTCTGCTGTCAAGCTACTGTGTTATCCTCACCCCTGCAATCCCATGAGTCAACAAAGGGATTCACAGGTGGTTCAGGTGAAAAGTCAAAGTATTGTCTTGGTTCTCTACCCTAAATCTCAGATGGACATTGGTGGACACTGGCCATTGGCAGGTGAGGAAGGTGGAATAGAAGAGCATCAACTAAGCCAGGAAACCACATTGTCTGTCTTGGGGAATTTGCTATGAACAAGTAACCCACACAGACTTGCCTAGCAGACCACATGGCCAAAGGCTCAGGTTTAAATTATCCCATGACACTGGCTGTCACCTAAAAAACTAGAGCCTATTTCCTTGATCAAGTCATGCCCCACTCCCACTCGCATGAATCTTCAGCTTCTTTCCCACCTATCTGCCCCACAGGCTAGGATTTGGATTACACAAACACTTGAATTCACTGTTCTAAATACTGCAATTTGTATGTCCTGTCTGCTGACCTTTGCCTCTCTGCATTTGATATGTTTTGATTCTGTAGGATTGTGGGTTTTGTTTCATCAACAAAGTGACTATGTGGTTAATTACCCTTTGACTCTTGGGGTCGCACCTCCATCTGGGCAGGAAACATCCATGGCTCCAGAAGTTTCAGATGTTTTAGCATTTAATTGTCATTGTCAATCTCTCACCCATTCACCACCCCCATCTCTCTGCAGTGTCAGGACTTGTGTGTGCCATAGAGGAATTTCCAGAAGCTAACTGGAGCCACCAAATTGTTGGTAGTGTGTTGAACTGTCTCATCTACCAATTACCTCCCTGGTTTCATCAGACTGTAGCTATTACAGGGGCCAGAACTCTGATGGAGGAGGAAGCCTGAGGAAGGGGTGCCCATTTCCTGACTAAGTACACTTGAGCCAGATAGACTGAGTAGAGGTGGAATACTTTCTTGCCAGATCCTCTCAGCTTCTGAGCAGTGGTTCCAGCCAGTCTTGATTTCCCACTTGCTCATGTCTCAGGCAACTGATTTTCTTTGTGAAACATTTTTCTGGCGTTGACTAAGCACAGAATTCATGAAGACATTTGTCTTGAATATTTGTGGAAAGCCAGTTAAATTCTGCAAGACCCTGAGTTATGGGAGTTAGGGGCACACCTAAGATCTGATCCAATCTCTACCCATTGTGAGGCAGTTTAGTAAAGGCGATGATGCACATACATTAGGTTCTGAAGAGAGTCAGGATGCTCCAAGAGAGCCAGGGGCTCTTCCCACCTGAGTTCTGCATTGTGGGCAAGGCTTGGTGATGCATAAACAGGAGGGAAGGTGTTTAGAATATTGGCAATGCATGAAAGTAAAAAGGTGCAGAATTTTTGTATCAAGCCCAATGTTCATTGAAGCTGAGGGCAGAGTGTATGATGGGAGGAATGCAACAACTACAGAGGAAAGGAAATGATAGGACCAATAAGGAGAACTTGGATTGCACTGAATAAGAATAGATGATCATGCAGCAGTGTCTTGCTTACTCATTAATGCTGAAAAGTCCAATCATTTAACATCGCCTGTGGCATATTTAATCTGACACTAGCTCTGAACCTGCGAATTATTTTTAATTTGATGTTTGAAAATGAATAAAATATATTTTGATCACTCTGCCCTATTCCACCCCACCCCCCCACCCCCGCAAACTCCTCACATTTCCCTTCTCCGCCAATTTCATGTACCCATTTAAAAACCCACTGAGTCTGTTTAGTGCAGCCAGTATGTGCATGGGTGAACAGCCTATGAGAAGCTGGATCCCAAGAAAACCAACTCTCCTTCTTCCAGTATCCCTCTGTTATCATTGGTGAGTGTAGTTTGAGGTTTAAAGTCTAGGGGCCACTCAGTGGTGCTGTGTAATTGGAGTAGCAGACACCATCCTAGTTCAGCTAGGGCAAGGTGGGGCTTCTGACCACACCAATGAATCATCTATCAGGCTAGCAGGCTCTTGCTTCAGTTACCCAGAAGTCATGTGCCAGAGAGCCTGAGGTGAGAGTTATCAGTAGGGTGCACAAACACTCAGCACAAGCATTCATTAGATAGTATTAGAATCCCAGCAGGTAGAGGGAGTAAAGGGTTCCCTTGGAGTGCACCAGGGGCTCAGGTGCAAGTCTTCAGATGGCTTGAGATCACAGCAGGTGGGTTGGTGATTACTGCAGAACAAGTACACAGCTCAGTCAGGGTGAACAGTACTCACATGCTAGAATGTTCCAAGGCTACTTTCCCTTTTGTTGTCAAGATACACTTTAATAAATTGCTCAATACATAGCTTTGGGTATTAGCTGGTGCTGTGTTGTGTGTTGTGATGAGTTGAGGAAGGATATGGACTAAGGCTGATAGTTTGAATAACACTCTTCCTTCTTTATTGTAAAAAGCATTTGGGGAATAGGAATGTTTATAAATGTTTTGAATATGTAGCTATAAGCCTGTGAATGGAATGTTGCATTACATACAGGTCAAGCCTTGTCCTGTCTACATGGGAATAAACAGATGTGGGGTTACAGTGACTGTCTAGAAGCTCTGCTGTGTTTCTTCCTTTCATCTCCACAAGCCACACAGACATGCAACTCCTGAGCTTTCCCAGATAGGCAAATTGAACTTGGTTTCATGCTGAGAAGATAAACAAACTCAAACTGACTGTAGCATCCTAGGTCTCACAGGGTTATAGTAAGGTGCTTCATCTTAGGGCCAATATCTTATTGATACTGTTGCTAGGAGCAGAGAAGCCCATGAGAAGAAATCACTGCTGTGGGATGTTCTGTATGGCAAATGTGTTGCTCTGATTGGTCAATAAATAAAATACTGATTGGCCAGTGGCTAGGCAGGAAGAATAGGTGGGACTAACAGAGAGGAGAAAAGAAAGAACAGGAAGGCAGAAGGAGTCACTGCCAGCCACCGCCAGAATAAGCAGCATGTAAAGATACCGGTAAGACACAAGCCACGTGACAAGGTATAGATTTGTAGCAATGGGTTAATTTAAGTTATAAGAAGTTAGCAAAAAGCCTGCCACAGCCATACAATTTATAAGCAATATAAGTCTCTGTGTTTACTTGGTTGGGTCTGAGCGGCTGTGGGACTGGCGGGTGACAAAGATTTGTCCTGACTGTGGGCAAGGCAGGAAAACTCTAGCTACAGATCACAGATGCCTGCTTTTAATCTTGGGGCTACTGACTACTGTGTTGTGGGGAGTTAAGGAAGGCTGGGGTCAGGGGTTTCCTTTTCAGTGCTCCAATTTAGAGGCTTTGGTAGCCATTCCTGTGGTGTGTGTCACGGGTAGAGCAGTGGAGCTCCTGGATCACCATGTCAGGCCAGCTCCAGTTATGGAATCCTGTGCTCACAAGCTCTAGAGAACTTTTCTGTGCTTCTACTTCCCCTCAACTGGTATGGGCTGAGCATATAGAGTGAGGAAAACAGCCAAACCAGTAAACTCTACCGTGTCAGCATTACTCAGCTACTTAAAAGTGTGAAGGCCACTGTGCTCAGCCATTCCAGGGCTGCTCAAGGAGGTTACCATCAAGAACAGCCACATCCTAAACAGTGATGTCAAGCAGTCATCTGCACAGGTGGCCTCCAGACTCCTGGGCTTTCTGTGCCTCCCCCTAAGATTTGTTCAATCTTACAGCTTCATCCAGCAGTCCTAAGCTCTGTGAGGAAAGTGCTCTGTTCTCCAACATCCTATTCTCCAGCTGAAGACTAAAGAACTAAAATGACTTTCCAAATTCAGATCTTTACCTATGATTGTGAGAACTATGAATGCTGTCCAGAAAGCCACTGAGTAAACTTCAAAGTCACATTGGCACCAGGGCAGTTGAGTAACTATCAAAAGCCCACATGCCACTACCATCCTCCTACTGTCCTCAGGACCATAATCACCTCTGAAAGACCTATTCTCCAAATCCATCACACTGGAGGTTATGGCTTCTGATAAATTTAGGGAGCACACAAACTTTCCTTTTATAACACCCTGGTATAAATCATGTGGCCTGAGATATGTCATAGCACACTTCACTGTTTCCTTTGCTTTCTTATTATAGTTCATTGCCTTCCAAAAGACATGGGATGATTTCTGGCAGGATTATTCATGCCCCTGACCCCTCCCACTTCCACCACTGTGAAGACAGTAGGGGATATATTCTCCTTGGTGCTAGACCAATGAGCAAGATCAGCTTTTAGGCTACAATGCTGAGGAGATGATCCCTGGAGCACACTGGCCAGCCAGTCTAGTCTAATTGTGAGCTCTAGGTTCAGTGGTAGACTCTGTCTTAAAAAGTAAGATGGAGACAACACACACACACACACACACACACACACACACACACACACACACACACACAAAGGCAAATCAACCAAACAAAAAAGCTGTAGACAGGAGAGAGGAGCCTATATTCATAGCCAAACAGGAGGGTAGCTGCCACTGGCCTCTGTGAGTTTGGCAAATAGGTTGATATGCTAGGGACAGGCACCACATGAGATGTTTAGCTCTAGAACATGGGTTCTTCATCAGGATATAAGCATGGGTCCATCAAGTCAGTAATATTCCTAGGATCTCAAAGTCAACCACACAGACACAAGACTTAGAGTAAAGCACAGTGTTTATTAAGCAAAGATGTATCTTATTTTGAGCAGATATTAATTTCTCACAATTGGATACCTATTTAACACATGTTACCCAATGTAACAGGGTTATAGGGCTACAGAAGAGAGGTAGGAATAAATCAAGATCAAGACCCCAGAATTTGGGAAGAGGACATGGTGGAATGGCTTTTTCCATATTGCAAACTGCTGTGACATTTTTTATTTTGGCAAAAAATTCCCCTGAAATTCTGTCCATTGAAGTCAGCTTGCCACATGAAATAGCATGGGGCAAGCAGGGGCCAGTGAATACTTATCACACCCAAAGTTGTTTGCTTCTGCAGCATCATTTCCAATAAACTGACTATGCTTTAAAAATAACTACAAACTCAATTTGTGAATAGAGAAAAAAAAACCCACCTACCCTCTCCCATAAAGGGACTCTGCCCATTTTGTATGTCCCTTTCCCACACAGACAATGGTGGTCTGTCCTTTGCTTCATCTTCCCCTCATGGATGAGGATCGATGTTCTCTTCAGCCGGAAAATAACCAGAATTTTCTTGACCAGGGGGAACAAAATGTGGCCCATTCTCTCTTTGGTAGTTAGAAGAGGCAAGCTGAAAAAAGGGGGAGGGTGAAAAAGTAAAACATTTTGCTATAGTTCTTTGGCCCATTTTGTGGGGATGGGAGGATCCCTTTATTTCAAGCTAGGGAGCAAATGACAAATGCCTTTGCTGAAGGGACTTAAAGGGTGCTAGCAGGAGAGAGAGAACTGGGAAAGACATGAGGCCTGTCCCATTCTTTCTTCAGCTGCTTCTTGGCATAACGGTAGTCCTGAGACCTCAAAATTTCCCTTTAAGCAGCAACATATGTGTCTAGCCCTCAACTTTTCTGCAACCAGGCCTAGCCAAAGTCCACCTTTAGCCTTGGACTTTCATTTCTACATTTACACAGTGGAAGGAGACATGTCAGCTCCCACCAGGGAGTGGAGGAGGACAAGCACAAAGGCAGGGTTACCAAGATGTCAGTTGTAGGACTCTTTTCTGACTCTATTTTGAAATGATACAGGACCTAGTAAGTGAAACCAAATGAGGTGAATGAGAAAAAATGGAGGTGTTGAGCTTCAATCTTGGCAGAAAGCTGAAGACCAGGGTAGTCAGGGCAGGAATGACCAGAGAGCTGAGTCAGAGTATGGCTTCACACTGAAGCCCTCAATGCTCCCACTCTACCTCTCTTCCAATGAGAAAGCTATCTGAAACCCTACCCTCACTGGCCAGCACTATCAGATCAAGTTGGTGATAACTCTGACTATTAGGGTCCCATTCAAGGGTGTCATTGTCTTGGTAAAAGGCAAAAAAGGGGGTACTATTGAGGTCTACTTTGCTAATAGGTCCATCAGACCATTTGCTCATTTTGATCTCTGTTTAGGCAGTTCCTCATAGGGACCCAATTTCTGGTGGCACTGATGGTTCAGTTGGTCAAGGCATGTATTTGAGAATATCACACATTAAGCTGTTTGGAATTTCTAAACATTTAGAATGTCTAATCATTCTTTTAATTACTATTTTTGTTTATGGTAAATTGTGTTGTAGGATGAAAACACTTTTTTATGTGTTGGTAATTTGTTAGATTGATTATTTCTGTTCCTCATAGGGCTAGCTGGGACTTTACATGAAGAGCTAATTCTTCTGTGTTGTTGTCATCTGGACCAGCTTTTATACTGCAAGCCCAGCCCCGACAGATAGTCCCCAAGTATGTCTGCCCTGTCTAACATAAGGAACCTCATAGATGAATGATAAACACATTCAGCAAAGGGAACTTTAGGGATTTTCTCAATATAATGAGACATACCCAAGGTAGGACCTAGACTGTATTGCAGGATTATAAGATCTGTAAGTCCAGAAAGGAATCTAGACTCAGCAATGAGTTTGGCATTAAAAATGAGGTGTGGATCACTTTGATTAGGTAATCTATGCTGTGGAAGACTGAAAGTTAGGTTGTATTTATGAACCATACATGCAACTCAGTTATACAAGGACCCAAGTAGACAATGATTTTACTCAGCAGTGAGTTCTACCATCACATGTATAACTTCCTTCAAACTGATAATGCTTTCTAGTCTGTGTTTCAAACACAGAGCATATTCCTGAGGCGTCCTCCTTATGAAAAAGAGGCCCAGAATCCATCTTGATCCAAAAGTAAAAAGCTATAGGATATCTCTATCATGTCCATTTTCTTTGTCTGTAAAGCCAAGGGTTGTTGACCCGTACTAAATGATAATTCTCTATAATGTGGCTCATGGCATTATCAAAATTATTATTTCATCTATAGCTGCATGAAATTTTCTGAGATACCCAGGCCAGGTATGTTTGAGTCACGACTTTCAGATGATTGGGGATCACTTACATGTGACCTTGATGATGGGTGTTGTGACCTTGCAGATGTGTGATTTGTCCCTGCCAGAGGTTGAAATGTCACTGCTACTGTTTGATGTGGCACTGGTGTTGTTTGACGTGACCTTGTCAATGGGCGATGCAGCAGTGGAGGAGTATGATCAGCATGATCATCCCAAAATCTGTAAAAGAAGAAATCTGGAGCAATGACATAGGTCAAAGAATGATGGGTCATGAGAAATTCTTCCGGTTTTGAGTGCGTGCTTTGTACACATTTGTTTTCATTTATACTTGCCAAGATAAAAGGAACATTGATGCCAAGATAAATTATAGTCAAGTCACTTGTCTCACCTGGTTTCTTTTGTGTCATATAAATAGTTTCACCATGACTGTACTCTCTGTGTCCTTGTATATGCCATTGCATCTGACTAAAAAAGACTACGTCAGGGAGTAATACCTGCAAGGCACATTTCCTAATATCAGGTCCAGGGCTCTTCCACAACCAAAAGCTTGGGAAATTCAGAGAATGATATGGATTGCAAAGCCTTACCAAAGACCCTGAATCTTCATTTTAATCCTTTTTAAAGCAGGCTCTGATGATGAGAAATGTTACAAAACTTGATACTGATCCACTTCACATGTCAGAGTCACCACATGTAAGGGCAGATGGAAATACACATAGCTTTTTGAGACTCTGCTTCAGTAAGACAGCATTTCTTTAAAAACACTTATCGAACCTTAAGTATATGCTAGAAAGAGCCTTTTCTTTCTGGTATTTGAATGAGAGAAATTATTACTGGGCCTTTATATGTTGCCTGTTCACAGAATGTAACAAACATCTTACATCTATTTCCCTGATTTTCCTCGTCAATGCCTTCATTCCAGAGAAGTTGAAGAATGGACATGAAATTAACAAGTTACTCAGCCATGGTCAGTAAAGACTTCTCTGCAAACACCCTGTGCTGAGAGTATGGACTTGAGCAATGAAGCCCAAATGATTTCAAGGTTTGTATGTGAAATCTCTAGCCTTTAGGCTGTCTTATCTAGTCTTTCTGTGTGGAAGACCCTCCATTTCATCAACAGATACTGAGATAGGCACTATATAGGCAGGAACAGTGGCCTTTTCCCCAATCCATCTGTCTCTTACCTCTGTGTCTCATTTAGTGGATACTCAGAGTTATCAGTTCCAAAGAAATTAATGGGAAGTGGTGCCAGGTCATTAGTAACAGTTACCACCTGCACAAAACCAACAGTTATTGTAAAAAGATACAGGTATGCCATTCATCCCCTTATCAACATTTTAGGCTCTGACTACTCCTATACCTGATCTCACAGTTGATATACCTGATTTTCTTGTTCTTGCCCCATTTGTTGCTGTGTCATAGTCCGTTCATATGGTAAATTATAAAGCATCCCACTATGTTGAGCCAACTCATATTCACATTGTTTTCATTCCCTTTCCTGCAGGTATTGATCCATCAGAAACAAACATAAAAATACTTTGATGCCTAAAAAGCACCCCCAGAAATGAACAACATTCAAATGAATCCCAAAATAATGGAAGTCTGGTCTCTGTGGATACTGGCCTATGGGGACTACTGGCTGCTTTAGCAGCACACTAGTCACAGTCATGTGTGGGAGGCCAGCTCTCACCTTTTAAAGGGTTCCTATGAGGAGGAGAGAGGAATAAGAAACTTTTAGATAGAAAGATAGTGGAGAGGAGACAGAAAGAAACACAGGATAGATTCAGGAATGGACCAAAATCCACCAGCCCCTTCTGTTTCTTCAAAAGGGCTTTTTATAACAGTGCCAAGGGGCGGGACAAAAGACCCCCCCCCTTGCTAGATCAAAGCACACCACACAGCCAAGTGTAGACCCTTCCAAACACCTGGTAACCATGCCTGTGGCCCAATCATTCTCCTATGCAGTCCTGCTGAGTAAAGCAAGCTCAGATCTCACTAGGAAACCTTTGTGGGTCTCCACAGACACGCCACTGGGTTACAGACTTCTGAGAATCCAGAACACCTGCACAAGCATGTGTATGTCATTGAGCCTGTATTCAGTTCTACTTTGTACAGATATTTTTAATTCTCTGGGCAATTCAATTGCAGCCTATGGGGTAGGCTAAACAAGTAAACCAAGCCAATCAAACTTCTTATGCAAATGGAATCGCCTTTCAGTTATAAAAAGTAAAATTAACTTTCCATACCTCTTCTTCAACCTCTCTGTAAGAAGGTGCTTCCTCATGGAAGGATCTATTTATACTCAAATCATAGACTGGTGTTCTCACCCATGGGCCACAGAGTTGGGCAAACCTTTCCCCTAAAAGTGGACGCTGGAGGTGAAGTGGTCTTCTTCGCTGTATTTGTAAAGACACAAAAATTACATAGGTATTGCTGTTAGTACATGCTTTTCCTTAGTGCACAGAACACAGAAAACATGGAGAAGTATTGTTCACCCAAGGCCAAATATTTAGAAGCCACACTGGCCCCTGCTAAGACCTGGCTGGGCTCTTCTCAGCTCCTGTACACAGCCAGATTGCAGAACCATAACTGATTATTTCAGGAATTTAAAACCATATCTGCACTAAGAGTTTAATTGTGTATTAACCCAAAAAAGAAAAAAAAACAAGACATTTTATCATAAGGACTTTTTTCTCTTTCTTTCTTTCTTTCTTTTTTTTTTTTTTTTTTTTTTGGTTTTTCAAGACAGGGTTTCTCTGTGTAGTTTTGGTGCCTGTCCTGGAATATGCTCTGTAGACCAGGCTGGCCTCGAACTCACAGAGATCTGCCTGGCTCTGCCTCCCAAGTGCTGGGATTAAAGGTGTGCACCACCTCCACAAGGCTTTTTCTTTTTCTTTCTTTCTTTTCTTCCTTTTTTTTTGGTAAGGACATTATTTTTAAAGGATAAATGTATTCACATGGATTTCCTAAATAGTTCAAAGAAATTTCATGGTATTCCAGAAATCCCTGCAAGGCAAGAAGGCCTTTTCAAAAACAGAGACATCAAGGCTCAGGAACTTGCCATTGTCACACTGCTGGGGCTAAACTGAAATGTCTGTCTTTTAGCTTTTAATTTTATGAAGATTGCTTTGGGCATTGCAGAAGGAGTATCTGGTTTCTATTCTTGTTTAAAATGTTATACCTATACAATATTCTAAACTACTAAAAATAAAAAAATCTTTAATAAAAATTTACATGTTGTCTAAAAAGCAAAAATTAAAATAATAATAAAAATTATCTATATCAAACTAAACCAAAAAAAAAACATAAAAAACTAACCTAAAAATAAGTAATAAATTACAGAAAATAAAAAATATAAACTATACTAAATATAAAGACACATTACTAATACAAAGCTCTTCACCATTCAGATTTACCTCAGTTACAATACAGGCTGGCAAATCTGTGCGCACCCTAGGTTCCACCATTGCCTCTGGGCGCACAGGCTGTACTACTGTGCTCAGACACTTTGCGGTTGTCTCAACTATCTTTTGATGTCCTTCTCTTTGGTCCACTATGGGTTTTTGGATTTTAGGGCCTTTCTTAACTTCAATTTCATCTACTATTACACAGTGATCTTCATCTGAAGAAGCACCAGGAACTTTATCAATAACATGCTCTTTGGGATTAGAGCCCATTGCCTCTTCCAAGGGTTTCTTCACATCCTCATCAGTGCATTCTCCTTGTTCTGGGGAGGCCTGTTTTTCCTGGCTGTCGTCCATAAGAAATTTTGGTGCTACTTCAAATTCCATGTCCACGGGCTCTAGCAATTTCTTTGGATCTATCACAGAGCCTTGTCCAAATGTAGAAGCTGAGGAAGGAAGCACAGATGAGAGCATGAATATAACTGTAAAATTTGCCAGGTTTACATAAGACAGTATGGTTTAATTTCATGATTAAGAATGAGATGTGCCAGGTACTAGGAATCATTTGGATAACAGTATTTTTAAAAGCCATTCATATTTGAAAGTAAAGGACAAGTAAAGTATGTCTGAATTTCTGTCCACCTCCCAGTTTACACTGGTGCTTAAATCCAGCCCAGTTGTTAGGAACCTTTCATGGCAACATTTTTTGGGCTCTACTTCAGAATATTTGGTGTCCTCCAAATAATAAAGCTGAAATAAGTTATAGATCACTCTGTAGGATGTTGCAATACACCTTTGCTTTAATAGCTGAGTAAAACAACTTGGAAGACAATAATGAAGAATTATGGCATCATTTTGAAAATCCATTTGACATGCTTTCTATATGACCTAGTAGTCTCACAGTCAGGAATTTACCCAAGCAAACTTAAAGTTCCACACAAAACTTTTGGGAAAATGTTTGTAGTAACATTATTCAGTATCGGCAAAACCTTGAATGCAACCCAGATGCCCTTCCGCTGATGGATAGACTAAAATCCTGTAGTATATTCATAAAGTGCAATAAAAGGAAGTGGATCATTGTTTCCTCTTGTGACATGGAAAGTTGCTAACTGTACATTTCTAAGTGAAAACAGCCAGATGGAAAAGCTTCACATTAGAAATAGGCATGAAACCCAGTGGTGTTTTGCTTATGCAATGTGTGGCATCAGGGGGATCAGAATAAAATGGTTAGAATTTCTCTCTTTCATTCATTTTTCTCTGTACTGTTCTTTCAAGTCAAATTATTTTATTTTTTTTGTGTGTGTGACAGGGTCTCATGAATCCCAGGATGGCATTGAACTTATTGTGCAGCCAAGAATGGCCTTGAACTCCTGATCCTTCTACCTCTACCTTCTGAGTACTGCATTGAAATTTTTCTCTAAGTCCAAAATTATTTCAAAATGAAAAAAAATACAAAATATAAACATCAGGATCAGGCAGAGTGACCCACCAGGCACCTCCCAACTGCTCTGTGAAACTTCAGGATGCACACCTCACCACAATGCTATGGATACAAGCAAACTGCCCTTCAACCATTGTATTAGTTTTAGATTCTCCTTTTTAGTCATTTTGGGAAATTCTAGTTTCTTGATAGTTTCAGTGTTCAGAATTTTGACTAAACTCTTCTATTATCAAACACTTCCAAATCACTTTTGAACCTTAATAGTATATTTGCAACTTTCTGTTACCAAATGAAGAAAATCAAATAAATATCAGCAAGCCATAGCAAGGGACCCAGAATTTTCTCAATTTCAACATTTGTTGCTAGATATTGGTATGTGTTCTTTTGACTGGAATCGGTTGGTTTAACAGCAATGAATATAATTCCACAGAGCAAACTTACAAGGTAAATCCAGATAAGTGGGTTAAGAGCAATTACTGCTCATATAAACGTAAGAAATAGTCTCTCTCTCTCTCTCTCTCTCTCTCTCTCTCTCTCTCTCTCACACACACACACACACACACACACACGTACAGACACACACACACACCTTTGTGCTGTTTTCAAAGGATAGTTTGGAATAGAGCTCTGAAATTTACAGAAATAATGGAAGTGTTATTACTAAAAACTATTTAAACATTAAAACTACATCTGGAACTGAGAAAAAAAGAATAAAATAAAAGATTAACCACAATACATAAAAATTTCATGATATAAATCTCTACAATAAGATCCACATGGTAAAAGGATATCTGTCCTTTTCTCAAGTGTTGCAGTTTTTTTGTACAGTTGTGTAATTAGTACTTTGTTATTGAAACACATAAAAGGAACAGCAGTATTTTTGAGGAATTAACCCATTCCCACCCCCACCCCCATTAAAATTTTCTAGCAAAACACATGCCTATAATTCTATCATCCCAGCACTCAGGAGTGGAGGTAAAACGATTGCTGTGACTTCTAGGACAGGGTGAATTATACATCAAGACTCTTGTCTCAAAAAACAACAAAAGCATGTTGCGGCAATAGAGTAGACTCCATGGACACAAACGATAAAACATTATTTATTCAAAGACAGGTCTATCACAATGTTTACAGTATTAAAATCAAAAGCAAGTGAATAATACTAATTTAGCAGGAAGGAGGGAAGTCTGCACATATCTTGCCAGGATTTCTAAAATGTGTAAGAGCTTTGATTGCTTGAATCTATGAGAAGATTCCTACTTTATTGCTCTGAAATCATCATCTGAAAAAAATTACAGAAAATGAGCAAAGTTGGACTTGACACCTGTGATTTCACACCATTATAACCCACACCCTATCTTTATTTTAAACTTTGCAACCATCTCAAAGATCATCCCATTTATTTATTCCACATCCAAATAGCTGGTTGTACCTACTTGGTGAAATTGATGTTGCTGCTGAAAATTCTGTGGATGAAATGCTTGTGGTCAATGCTTGTGCTTATAACTACACTTACACTTGTGCATGTACTTGATTGAGATGGTATCCTGACCTGAACTAATTCAAATGGCATTTTTCTTTTCTTTCTTTCTTTCTTTCTTTCTTTCTTTCTTTCTTTCTTTCTTTCTTTCTTTCTTTCTTTCTTTCTTTCTTTCTTTCTTTCTCTCT